TTCTATGTGAAGTATGATAAACAAGAGAATTTTTAAAAAATGTCACTACAATAATATCTTTTATTCAAAATATTATATAGATTTGGTTAGCTATTTTATATGTTAGAGTTTAGTTTAGAGTTTGTTAAGGATAAAAAAAAATAGAATTGTAGAGGTAAAACTCTTAGTTGGTAGCATTTTTGGAAATGAAAAAAACTCAAAATAACATTTTTATATAAAAAATATTTTAAAAGTAACATTATAAAAATTATCATGATAAACAATAGTATAGTCTATTCTATATCTATATAGTTACTTCTTTTTGTGTCCACATTTAAAATGGTGTAAAAATAATATATAAATTAATTAATAATACTCCAGACAATGTGTTTATTATCTATGTTATTGTTTTAAATTTATACGAAATAGAAAAAATATTATGTAACAATTAAAAAAAATAGTAGTATTATTATATTTTCTTATTAGAAGTTAGTTTTATTGTGGCAGAAATAGTTTCTGCATCCGCCACTCTATACAAAGGGATTTTATTTCAGAAAGGCTTCATTTTTATGTAAAGGTATAAGTGAGCCAAACCCAATGGACTCAAACCCAAAGCAAGAAAAGCATCCACATGAAGGATGTATGAGAAAGGAAAAGCGTGAGTGGAAAACCAAATCATCATGATCACAAAAAACTCAGCTAACACCTTTCACAAGAAATACAAAAGGAAACAACCACAAAAGGGTTAAATGTAAGTATGCGTGACAAAGATGACGAAAAGAGAGCAAATAAACCAAATGGAGGGTTAACACATTAGTGCCAGATAGAGCAGCCGAGAGCGAGGTAGGGGAAGGGACGGGGTGAAGAAACAGCTCCACATTAGAAGCTTGGTTTGCAGATCGGAGTAAAAGTGATGAGTAAAGAGCAGAGCAATCTAAAAAGTCACACAATGCAACAACAAGCAAATCTAGCTGATGATGGTTGAGGTGATGATGCAGATTGATGACAAAGCTAAGTTGTAGGGAGAGTAAGATGCAGCGCAGCTGCCAAGAGATCCCAGTATCTTACCCCCGATAAATCACACCTCACAAAGGCAAAAAAGAGTGAAAACAGTTGAACCTTTTAGATACGTCACACGGATGAGATATAAGGAAAGCGCATTCAACAAGACACACCGAAAGCATATACGGATTATTTAAGTAATAGTGCGATCAGACAAAGTAAGAAAAAAACGACCTCAGGGTTCAAGCATGCTGAAGACAGCAAAGCCAACATGGTCTACAGTACTCCAGGTTAACGAGAACTAAGTCAGACAGCTGTTGGAGAACAAGCTTGAAGGAGAATTCCAAATCCAAAGTGTCTAATAAGATGTCACTACACCACAACATGTCCATGCTCAACAACCAATCCTAGAAGAACTAATAGCATAGCAGATATATCCTAAAAGGCAGGCACACAAAGCTCCATTTATCTTCAGGCTCCAGTTTCACACCCTGCAAGGAGCACAAAGAATAAGAACCACCAACCATTAAAAGGTAAAGCAACAAATTATTGTGTTAGAGGTGAAGCTAAGACTGAATGCCGCAGAGGTAGAGCTATTGTTTTAGAGACTCGATTCTATACCTTAACAAAAAATACTTAAAAATGTTATTCAGATTTACAGAAACAGTGCGGACGTTGAGAATCTTTCAGAGATCAAGCATATCAAGGAAACTGTAAACTTACCCATTGGCATATGGTGAACGTCTGCCGTAAGGAGAGTCTCGGCGACGAGGAGAATCACGGCGTGAACCACGATATGGTGGGGATCTGCTGTAGCTTCTTCCACGGCGAGGTGGTGTTACACTGCGACGTCTTGGAGGAGATCTTCTTCCACGAGGGCTGATACTCCTGAACAAGATGGATTCCCAGTAACAAAGATTCTATGACATAAGTGCTTATATCATCGTCAACATATTCCCTTGTAGCAATTCAAGGTACTTAAAAGAATATGACAAAAGATACAAACAGTACTATAGCTTTCCCAATTCATAGTCAATGGCTCCCCATAAAAGATAGCTCAGCAAGAACGATTTGGCACATGAAAGACTTATGAAAAACTGTGCATCAAAGGGAGGTATGATTCATCAACTTACCTTAAGCTTAGTATGTAAATCCAATTGATGCAATTCTAATCATAATTTCAAAACTACAAGCAGCTATCATTTAAAACAACACTGTTTTTTATGAGCTACAAAGATGGATATGAAAATAACAGTAACAGCTTCATATAAGTNACACCCGAGAATCAGACATCTACCACAACAGTAACAGCTTCATTTAAATTATATGTCTAAATGATTGTTTTAGCTAGACTCACCTTCGTGCATATCCATAGCTTGGACTCCTACGACGGCGAGGGCTAGGGCTTCTACGCCTCCCATAGCCCCGACCTCGGCGACACTCACGAGCAAAATGCCCAGGTTCGCCACACTCATAGCACTTGGAGTCTGCAATACTGCTGCGCGGGTCTCCGCCTCCACGAGCTCCCTTATCTTTGTGAGAAAGCTCCACACGCCACCCATTCTTCCCTGAAGAACATGCCTCAGTTGGTATAAAAAAAGTTACAATTTGCAATAAGCAAACAGAAAGGAAAATAAAAAAGACCAGGCTTGTTTGGAGATCAGATATCACACTCAATATCGAAATCGACTAAAGGATAATGAGAAGATGACTGACCATCGAGTGCCCTAATTGCATCCAAAGCATCTCTCTCGTCATCGAATTCAAGGAAAGCGTAGCCTGGAGGCCTACGAGCAACCCAGACACTGCGATTTTTCTCATAAGAATCAAAATTCGTAAGAAAAGTATGTCCACAAACAAAAATCTAAAGAAGATAAAAATTACTTGCGAAGAACACCGAAGATCCTAAATTCATCTTCGAGTTCCCTTTCGGAGACTCGCGGGTCCAAATTCCCGACATAAACCCTCGTCATCTTGCAAAATCAGCCAAATCTGAAAGAAGGACAAAAACCCAGAAAGATAAAATTAGCAGTTTCAGGCGATATCGACAAGAATCGCAGCAAGTGAGAATGGAGGTCTTACCACGAAGCGGGATGGTTTACTTTTAGGGTTTAGACTTGGGAGAGGAAAGAGAGCACGAGGTTGGTTGTTGAGAACCGGCAAGTGTTTAAT